TGGTAGCACTTTTCTCAGGCAAAAGAAAAGCTACAGTCATGGTTAGGATATTAGAAGGACAGAGACCGTTACCTACCTCTGCTCCCAGGGTAGAGCAAGCAGCTACAAGATCAATGTACCTTGTTTTTCTTAACCCAACAGCTGAATAATATTTAATCTATGTTGAGGTGACCTCTGCCTGCCTTCAGTTCCAGGGCAGCACTCCCCATCTGGCAGTAAATGCTGTTTGCAGAGACAATAGTTGTGTCATGGCCCAGCAAGACTAATGTGAGCACCAACAAGAATAACAGGAGCAGCATGTGTTAGTGGTCAGCAGGGCAGAAAGCCATGGAGTTCGTGGGCTGCATGATGCCTCTGGGCTTCAGCAGCCCTTTCCCTTTGTGTACAGGGACGGTGTATTTTGTTTCCAAGGGAATTTTATGAGAACTACTTCAGTGTGGGTTTGGCAGTTAAGAGGACACGCACTTCAGGGATGGAATAAATGTCAAGACCATTGCTTCTGGGTAAGAGTATAGGCATCAAGCATAACCTGAGCAAGCAGAAATGGACACGAGCAATTGAGGCAAGCGCTCGCACAGGGGATTGGCAGGTGTGCTCAGGGCAGAGTGAGCTGCTGTGTTTACAGCTCTGCACTGGGCAGGCTGCAGCCCCTGGAAATCCAAGTCCTGTGGGATTTCCCACAGCACTATAGTGCAGGAGTGTTACATAGGACTGGAGTTCATATTGTTATCAGGGAAAACTACACTTGCACCAAGTAAGTTGTTTGACAACATACAGTGAATTACAGGGTGCTGCCCAAGTGACTGTAGTGCACTTACTAACACTCCCTGCCCCCCACCGCCCCCACCCTCCAGTGACTGGCTAGCAAGAGTACTTAACTGGCTGAGCATGGGCCTGTTTGTCTTACGATTAGAAGTCTCGGGCTGCCTTTGTAGACAAGGCATTTTCTAGGTGAAATAATTACTTTGGCTTCTGCTCTATGATATTAAAACCCATTTGAAAGGCCATGTGGTGCCCATGCCACCAAACACTGTCATTCCCCAGGCCACCCACCCTGAAATCGTGCTGCATTTGCACTGTCCAACCCCAGAGAAGCCAGTGACTGCCTCGAGGATGGCCTAAGCTGACCATGTGGAATACGGAGAGCACAGGAGAGGCACCACCTGAAGCCTTAGGCTGGGCTGTGTGCAATCACACGCTGCTCACAGGAGCAGAGTCCTGCAGGTGCTTCAGGTGGCTGTCTGCAGTAAAGGCCCTTCCCTTGCTTGGACGGAAACAGTGGCTTGAGGTAGGTGGTGCATGGCAACACTGCCTGTTTACTGAGAACCGGCCAGCTTCCTGGAGATGAGGATGACAAGGCTGCCAGTAAAGTGCTGGAGTTACTTTGGAAAGCAGGCAGTCCACAGCTACTCGAGAAGAACCCGATGCTGAGAGGAATCAGGTGAGTCAGGCTGTGGGGCTGTATCGCTGGGTGCTGGAATGCTGCTTCCAGGTAAGAGATCCTATCTAGTGGGACCTGGTGTGTGCCTACACACCTAACTAGATAGCAGAGTCCTGCACCATTAGTCACCAGGGAGCCAGCCTTAACCCTTTGCTGTCCCTCCTAAGTGCTCCTCCCAACAGGCAAGAGTGCACAGCAGATGGCAACACGGACACCCAAATCGGTGTGTAGCATCCTGCTTGGCTAAGAGCTGTCATCTGCTTGGCCTGAAGAGTATCAAAGGGCACCTCTTCAGGGCCTGATCTCAGTGCAGGGTGAGGGACTGATACTGCGCAAACTGCAGTACGTCAATAAAAGTTGATAGTTAACCCTCTTTTACCAGCAAGGCATGACCTTGGCCTGTCAAGGAAACACACTGTCAGCAAGGTCAGGGGCACAGCCAGCAGCACGGCTGTCCCTAGGACTGAACCTGTTCCATCTCCCATGGGGGTCCATGGCACACCACCAGTGAGGGCACAGGCATGTGACATCCTGAGGGCAGCACCGTGTGGGGTTTGTGCACATGGAACATCCTATTCCTGTGCCATGCAAGTGTAATTGCCTCACCAGTTCCCCACGATCCCCAGTGATAACAGCCCTGCACAGTCCTCCAGCACGTGCCTCCCCATCTCCCCCACAGCTAAGTTTTTATGGTAATTAATATTCTAACAGCAGCAGAAGCAAAGAAAACAACACACGCTATTTTTTTTTGTCCTCATAAATAACTAATCTTGATACTTCTCTTTGAATAGAATTTCTTCAGCTTTTCACAAAATATAGTACAGTTATTTAAACAACATTGACCAGCATCAGTAACAGAAGGGGCAAAAACCAACATGTAAATTGGCTACAGCAGAAAGGGCACATGGCAACAGCTCCTTCCCCCTCCTGCCCCTCCTGCCACTTGTTGCTGAGAAGCCAGGCTCAAACATGAGTTGATTTTGTACTACCCTACCATTACATCAAAGCTGAAATGCTCTTGCATTTTTCAATAGGCAACAGTTAATCTTGGATTTCTTTACACAATCAGTTGCACTTTGGAAAAAACAAAAACAACAAAATACCACCTTTGACTGGTTCTGTTCATTGTATTGCATGATGTGTGTTTAGCTGTATCTACAAAAGGCACTATAGAAAGAGAGGAGACTGGTGGGGAGTGGACCGGAGTAGGTTGGAATCGTTTAATGCCCTGGATCACAACATGAGACTACCCACAGCGTCTCTGCGCCTGACCTGCCTCACTGCCAAGAACACACCTGTCCCTAACCCATACCAAAGGTCACTACGGCTTCTGTATGTACAAACTAGGCTATAATACAATCATTTACAGTCTGTAACACAACATGGTGCAATTCTGTCCATGATACAGTACTGCAACGTGCTGGAGGGAGTGAACCCTCTTGCAAGAGTGCAGATATGTGCAGCTGAACAGTCCCTGCTGAGCCCTCTGTCCCTGCACTGTTGGCTCCTCTGGCCAAAATGCCCCAGAGACACTCATGTGGTACCTTGGCAGCACCTTTATCAGCAGATGTACCACTCAGGTCTCCCCTCACTTCCCAGGCTTTGGTTTCAAAATGAGGTGGAAACCTTTTTGACTGAAGTGGTCCAGGAGTGTTGAGAATAACCTCAGATCCTTGCAGTCCTGCGGGAGCAAAGCCAGCAGTTGTTCTCCAGTGCTTGAGCAGCCAGGACACAGTGCCATGAGTGAAGGAGGGCAAAAAGGACTCGAGTAGTGGCTGGGTGGTTACATATGTGATTACTACTCAGGGCAGGGGGAAAAGAAATAAATTAAAAATTGGGTGATTTCACAAGTGGCCTGAAGCCACCTTGCCAGCTGTGCCTCATCCTGTGCCGCAGCTGGAGCCCCTCACCCTTGCTGCGTTCAGTGACATTGACAACACAGCCCCTCGCTGCCATCACTCTAGCTATCAAAACCTAGCTGTCACCACTAACACCAGGCACTGGGTCGGTCAGTGCTCAGCTGCTGTCTGATCCGAGAAAGTTGGAGGAAAAGGAGTACAAGCGCTCTAAGTTATCCTAAATTAACTGCTCACTCTCAAACCTAGCACTGTCTCTGGCAGAGGCACAGCTTTGAAAAAAGCAGCACGAAGTACTGAAGCTGGCTGGCTGGCAAACCCAGCTGCTTCTCAGGAGAGACAGCCTGCCGCCCGGCTCAGGGACCCACGCCGTGCACACACTACTCGCTGCAGAGGTGCAGCCACCCTTTTAGGGCTGGTTGTGCCACGCTCAGCTGCTGTGCCACATGCCACAGCTGGCAGGCTGGCAGGCAGGGCATCAGGCCTGCCTACCTCACCCCAGGTAACCCACACGGCACGAGGGAGATGCAAGAGACTCACCCTGCTGCAAAGGTGAGAGGTGAGGAGCAGCACCAACCCCTTCCCAGAGCACATGGCAGCTCAGGAGAACACCTGAAGTGCCAAAGCCAGAAGTGTCCAGGGCTTCTTGCAAACCCTGTGCTGGTTTGGCAGGCCCATCACCCGCACAGCCCAGCGGCTCTCCGTGGGCAGCGGAGCTGGCTGCCCATCGCAGAGCAGGGAGTTGGTGCTGCAGAGCTGAGCCCCACCAGGACCAGCTCCTGCCTGGTCCTGAGCCCCTGCCCAGAGGGGAGCTGACACATGCTTGCCCGGGGCAGAAGGGACCGTGGCGGTCACCTGTTCCCCACCTGCACTGCAGACAGTTGGGACCCTGTCCCTGCCCACCTTGAGGGCC